AGAGAGAGAGAGAGAGAGAGAGAGAGAGAGAGAGAGAGAGAGAGAGAGAGAGTCTTGATATTTAAAAATTGAGCAATTGATACTAGCATAATTATATTGAATTGCATTGCATGTTTTAAAACTTGATGTATTTTAGTTGCCTTACCTCCTCTGTCTTACGACGTAAAACAGCTTGTTGTTTTATATGAACAGATTCCAACTTTTTATATTCAAACTGCCTTTTTCTGCTCTATAATGAAATGTAAGTCACTATATATGACAAATGTATTTAATTAGTCTAAACAGCTAAATTACTGAGAATTGGCGGTGGTAGGCCTATTACGTTGCAATTGTCTATATGAAAACAGTTTCAAATACAATATTGGGATCGGGATATTGAGCATCGCGATAATAAAAAGTGTACTTTTTGAACAGATCAAACCAGAAAGAGTTAGAATGATAGGCCACAGGTTTTTCAGTGTAAACTGTTAATATGTGTATACCCTCGGTAAATAAAGTGGTATTATTACTATTATTATTAGGCCTAACCAATTCAAATAATAATTTTTATTATACATTTAATATGTATTCTCGTTTCTAATTGGTCAGAAAGCACCGGCTAATTTTCAGTATTCGAAATTTATTACGTATTTTCCGCCGATGACGTCATCAGCGTCCAATAATTGTTTTTTTGGATCGAACTTGCATCCAAAAAAACAATTATTGGACTCTCTCGTGCCCAAACCCTTGCGCGGCCAAAAGCTTGAACCTATAAGCGCGCGAAAAAAACAAACAAACAATGGCCTACAGCAGATTTGCTTCGCTGAATGAAAGTGAACCCTCCAAATTATTGGCAGATAAGGATAGTGAAAGCACGAAAAAAGCCACAAAGGGGTAAATAGAAGTAGAAATAGAATATTTAGCTGACCTTTGACTTTGTGCAAGGTGTTTGATATTCAAATTGTACTTTTCCTACCTCATGAACAGGAATCGTTTTATACGTTTCTCATGTCTCAGCTTCGCTTCGGCAGATAACATTGACCTCGGTCTGAATAATTCTTGATATCATGCTCAGCCTCATCCAATAATTGCTTAATATTTTATTTGATTCAACTTCTAACGAGTGTCAACGAGAGTTTTGGGTCGTTTATCATGGTTGTCAAAGCCAGACGTTAAAAGACGGTGAGGGCTTTTTCCCACTCATCGCAAAAACCAACTCGCAAGCGCTCTGCGACTGCTTGCATGTATATCTAACTAAAATAGACTCGAGCAGTGTGATTGTTTTGTTCCTTAACTTTTGCAAGCATGCATATGGCATATCCTGCATGGGTATATATTACCTTTTACTTATGAATTATAGACAGCTAGACGAAAGTCATCACTTAAGAGCATCAGCATGATGTAATTATCTCCTAGGTATTTTGAACATCTTACTTGCTGTTTTAGTTGGTTGATTTCTTTATCTTTCTTCAACTTCCATTGTCGAAATTTCTCTGCTTCTTCCTTCATTTGTCGCATCAACTTCACTTTCATCTGTTTCATGCCCTATAGATAAATATTTCCAAAATTATCATAGTTAGAAGCCATGCCGTATTAATCCACTATAAAGGCTGATTTCCACTGTTGCGTTTTTCATACGTACGTATACGCACGTAAAACTTTAAATCCGTTGAAATGTTTCTTATGAAATAACCAAATAAATATAAAGCAACACAATTTAGTGTTCCGCAAGTTTCAGTATGCATTTGTTAACTGTAACCCATACCTTGATTTCAGCATCGAGTTTTGTGACTGTTTGATCACTTTGTTCTTTCGTTTTCTGTAACCTTTTGTATTCAATCTATAATTTGTGACAAAAGTTGAAACAATTCATTTGTAACATATACAGTAGACCAGTAGTACAATAAAACAAAACTTTTTAAAACTAACAGAATATCAGTAATAATACGCCAATCACGATATTTTACCTGTTTCTTCTTATAGTCGGAAAGTTGTGTCTCCAGTTCACGCAGTCTTTCTTTCTCTTTCCTATATAGCACGATCATAAAATCGGAATATTAAATTCAGTCAACATGATGCGGGACATTCTTCATGCACGTTATGTCGTATCTTTTACACCGCGAAAGTACGAAATTCTACCAAAACGTAAAGGGATATATATAAATGAAAAGGATGAAACGATTGAGCACACAGATAAGAATACACAATTGCAGCACACAGAATAGTAAAGTCCACCCATTGAAATGAGTATAACTAGGAGTATAACTGGAACGCTACCTCTAACCGGGAACTTGAAGCCAAACATGAAGGCCAGTCCCAGTCTTTTCACGCATGCGAAGAGCGTGGTCAATCTGTCAATCATGCATCATGATATACATGTAAATACGCGTGATCTGACCTGAGGTCAGTTTTGGCTTTAAGAAAAAGATAGGCAGTTTATCCGAAGGAAGCGTTCCAGTTTCCATTTCAATTAGTCCACCCGATTAAGTGCCAGTCAAACGAGGATAAGAGTTGATGAGAGTTGGCAGTCACGAATTGTTTTACGGGGGATATTTCAAGCTTTAGATTAACATGCAAAACAGAGATTTGATGAGTGTTCCCAGCTGTGATAGCCTATATGTTTAAATGGCATAGGGAAATGGGAAAGCATGTAGAACAGCTAATATTAAACCAAGCCGAGCGTGACCACCAAACTCTCATGCATTCTCATCCTCTTTGATGCAGGTTTTAGTGAATTTGTTGGAATATATATCATACACGGCGAATTTGGCTTTTGAATTGTTTCATACAGTAGACATATCGGAAGGTATAGAAAAACTATACAATTATGAACATTTAGGCACAGCGCATTTTGCTATTTCTCAGTAAACCAGCTGAGAGCATCACGTTATTGTTTCTTTAGTATAAAATATCTTCTGTAAATAATAGCCAAAGAGAGACTGCTTGTTTCATGCATGCCGATTGGAGTATGGTTCTAAAGACGTTTTTATCACAACATGAAAAAGATCACACTATACTTACTTTAAAGCCGAAGGATTAGCTTTTTTCGTATTTAAAGCAGAATTTAACTCAGCCTTTTCCTTCTCCAATTTCTCTATTATATGCTCAAGTTCTTTGACAGTCACCTGAAATAATTCAGTAAATACAAAACGTACTTTACAAGACGAATAAAGAGAACCAATTAGCAAATATGCACAGGACACAACATGTCTTGTGTGCATTCAGAGCCTTATATATACGATTGATATCTCTCGAAGAAAGATTAAAAAATACATTTCATATACGTACTACGGATAGAAAAACCTCAAAAACGTCAATAGCCATAAAAATGAGAAAGAGCTCGATAAGTCATCAAATGGATGTTAAATTAGGTTTTAAGGTACGAGCCAGACTGCAGTGGCGTAACTACTATGGGCTCGGACCGGGCGAACCCGGGGGCCCCCAACCCCAATAGGGCAAATGGCCCCCCAGCGCCAGGCTGTAGTACAAAAACATTGGCCAGGGCCTCTGATATGTCACAATGTCGTTTTCTGACCATCAGAATTCTGTAAAATCTCTCCCCAAAGTCCGGGAAATGGCATTTCAGAAAGTCTAGATTTAAAAAATTTTCCGGGTGAGCATGCCCTGGACCCCTAAAAAACTCGTGCATATACGGCGCTCCACTCGTGCCTCTGACACTTCTATACTAGGGGCCTTCGAAAATTTTGAACCGGGGCCCCCCTGATATAACGTTACGCCACTGCCAGACTGGTCCATCGCGAGCCGCCGCCCACACAAGGGCGGATTTTCATTTTTTTTAAAAGGAAGGGTGGAAAAATTTCTAGTGGGTAAGCAGGGGTTAAGCATTAGGGTTAAGCATTACCCGCAAATTCCTCGAAAGCTTCATCACAAAGTTCATTGGTATAAATATAATTATGTATACTTACCTCATATTGTTTTCTCATAGACGTAATACGTTCATTATCAACCATTTTGCTGGCAATTTCCTCCTTCATTGCTAAAGCTTTAGTCAGTTCTTGTAGCTGCTTACACAGTTCTGCTTTTCGAAAAGCATGCTGAACAGCAAATGAACTATTAGCAATTTCGGGATGTTCAGCGTGATCCCCCTCTAAAGATTTTCGCTCCTGCAAGAAATTGTTCATCAAGGTAGATAAATAATAAAGACTGTCAATTTGGTTTTTCTTATCCTTCGGGCTTTTGACATTGCTATATTATAAAAAATATATATATAAAACATTTTTTCCGTATTGATATAGTTATATCAACACTCGTCGAAGTTGGGAAAACTCGAAATTGTATGAAAATACAATTTCTTGTTTTCCCATTAATTCCACTCGTGTTGATATAACTGTACATCAACACGGAAAATGTTTTATATTTGTTAAATATATTGTTGCCAACTTTTGATTGGCTGGTATACAATGCCCCGTTGCACGCGCATTAGCTCTGTTGTGTAGATTTGTTTTGAAAATATTTGCAGATCTAGATTGAGAATTATCGTTTTTAGGTCGGCAATTTCTTGCCGACCTGAAATTTCGGGAGCCAGTCAAGGGCTGTATATACAGCTTACCAGTTTTTATGTAATTACAAAAAATGACATTTCTTAGTTTGGTGTAAGAAACGAATAATAAAAACAAGCACGAAGAGGAAACTTAGCAACTCTTTTAAATAAACTCAAAGTCTTGATTTTTGTTCTTAAATTAACGAGTAACTTTATAAATATTTTATTAAAAACAATGAATTATCTGGTCATCGCAAAATATCGTAATCATGGTCAGCGCTCGAAAACTATGTTATTTTTTCTCTGCCAATTGATTGATCTGCTCCTCACCGAAAAACCCCTTTCCAACAGTCATGTACTACTCCTCTCCAGTGAGCTCTATATATCTCGAGCAAGAACTTCAGCCATTCGGCCTATGGCTATGAGAAAAGTTTCGTGTCTTGCTTTATATTTAATACATATCAACTCTCTTTGTTTACAAGATTTATGGGAAAACTACTGTTAATTATGTTAAGTTATGATAATACATTACTGAGATAAATTAGTGAGTATTAGTGCTAAGTTAATTAATAATATAGTTAATTACGATACGACAAAAAGTGAAGTCAATTGAGTTGGCGGAAACTGACGTCTAAAGCTCTGAAGGTCGTAAACAGTTTTGATACCATTTTCCACAGTTAAGTCCAGTTTTTTTCTAACGGATCGTATCGCTAAACAAGTTATATAAGTTCATAAAACCATAGTGTTATTCTTTATATCGATGTTAAATATGACGAAATTTCGACACACTCGTACTCCTTGCCAGCTTCGTGTTAACCGCGCAGACAAGTGCATGTTCTGTAAAAAGGGACTATCAGCCGCCACAAATCGTAAAGTGCCAAAAATATAGGTACAGGGTCGATTTTCAGGTTACCTGAAACATGGTTATAGGAAAACGTACATCTATGCATCGAGAATAAACTAACAAAATGAGATGTTCAAACACTCAATTTTGGTGCAGCATTCATTATATTTCGATACCAAACTTGTGGGCATCCATGAACGAAGCTGCATATAAATGTCCCAAGAAATGTTAATTAATATTCATAAACAAACCTCTGTTTCTGGTGCAACTGATGTACACATATTGGCCTCCTCCTATAGCAAGTTTTATAATTATGTATCAGTGTGATAAAATGTACGAATTTACTAAAAATGTTTTCACAGAAATATCACAAATGAACTTACATCCATTTCTTCAACTTTCATCTGAATATGTTTAACCATATCGATGCTTTCCACATTCTCTTTGTCTTCATCATGATCAAATGAAATGTCAAGACCACGAGATCTGGCAAAAAATGAGGAATGGAAATAAAGAACGGGAAGCCAAACAAACTTTGGAGCTGTACGTTCACATCCTGCGTTTTGTCAGTGAGTCTGATTTTAGGTTTTCATGAATGTCAGTGTCGACATGTGTCGGTTAGTACTGTTGTGACGTCATTAGACAAAGTTTACCGCGTTTTTTCTTTAATTTTCGTTAAATATAAATTAATGTGGTTCTCCTACAATCAGCCGATAAATCACTGTGACTGTGTAAATTTTGGCTTAACCATGTGAAGAAAGTAAATTCTTGCAGGCTATAATTGCATCGAAATGCGTCCAACACCGTTTCCTCATCGTCCACTTACTGTAACCTGCTCGCAGCCTGAAATTTAGAAGTGGAAAAAATTTCAATTTTCCCCTTCTAAATTTCAGGCTGCGAGCAGGCTAGCTTACTGTTATTGTATCGAAAACCGTTGGTAGTGATTGGTACTGTTAACCTCGTCAGTAATACAAATTTAATTAACTTACTGTATTTTTTCTTTGAGTTGCTCAGCTTTTTGTTTTAATTTGTCTTTTGACATTTCAACCTAAAATTATGGACCGCCACGTTACGGATTATCGACGAAATGCTTAATAAAATTTATGAACTTAATAATATTACGCAATTATTAAGAACAAACCATAGATATCTCATATACACTACACGCGTAAAAATCATCATGTTGATGCAAGTTGTTCAAAACAGGAGCGAACAATGTTGTGCTGCACCCCGTGAACAATATTGTTAACAAGTTGTTGAACCATCAACATTGTTGCAACTTGTTGACAATCATGTTAACAAGTTGCAACAACATTGATGGTTCAACAACTTGTTAACAATATTGTTCACGGGGTGCAGCACAACATTGTTCGCTACTGTTTTGAACAACGCCGAACAACCTGATCAATTTTTACGCGTGTAGATAGCGCATCTCGGAATACAAAAGTGAAGCCAAAAATCTCAGCGGTTTCCCCCATGAAAATAGGCGGCGGCCATATTGGTCGTTCCCACTCATCAATGAAATGCTATAGAAAATACTATACTTTTCGAGGCTTTTTTGCATTTCTGGATTAAAAATACCTTTTTGAGGTACGTTCGCCTTGAAATCGCAGCTTTTTTGGAAAAGGGTACAAGAAAAAAACATTAATTGGCGATGTTGTTGTCTTTGAATCGCATTTTAAAGCTAACAATTTCGAATTACGACATTGGCTTTATATACTTGTTTTGAATCTGTGAGTGATTCTCTGGTGAAGTATCGTCTAATCAATACATGTACTTACGGTTTCTGGCACCACTTTATGGAAATGGAAGTTGGTAAGTAACGTTTCGACTATCGGCGTAGGCAGTTTATACTGTAAAGTTTTCACTGTAAATCTTTAGTGAAATGTTTGAGACAGTCTGAGTCTGCACTTTCAGCTTGGGTAGTTTTCACTCTAAATCTTTAGTGAAACGTTTGAGGCAGAGTTTGCACTTTCAGCTTGGGCAGTTTTCACTATAAATCTTTAGTAAAATTATGTTTGAGGCAGAGTGTGCACTTTCAGCTTGGGCAGTTTCATAGTAAATTTTAGTAATATTTAGCTTTCTCTGATACATTCTGTGTAATCACTCACACTGGTGCTTAAAAGGTACAAGTTTATTTAATTTCTTTCTAATTTTTTGTCCAGATGAATTCTCAGTGGTCTTTTTTGCAAGATGGTAAAATTTAACCTCACAGTAACTCTTGATGATGCTCTTGGTCAACTGAAATATAACATGATTTTCACCAACTGGTGAGTCAAAAATATGGTGATCTAGCTCAGTAAAAAGATTGTGTATGGACAGTGAAGCCAGAACATATGGACAATGAACAATGAAGCCAGAACAGAAGTGGTCAGAGCATATAAGTGTCTGCTTTCTGAGAACAGAACAGTATGGACAATGCAACCAGAACAAAAGTGGTCAGAACATAATTATAAACATCTGCTTTTTGGGTGACCACTTTTCTTGATGAACATTTTGTATGAACTGTTTTCATAGTACTTCATCCTTAGGGATGTTTATCATGTTAATGCAAGTCTAATTTCAATCAATATAATAGTATACTGTAAAAAACTAAAAATAAATTGCTTACTGATGAATTGTCCTGGGAAGTTTTCTTTTGATTTTTGATTCTGTCACTTGACCCTTCACTATTACTTCTTATACTTTTTGCATCAGGAATGACTTTACCCATTGCTATGAAATTTTCTGAGTTTAATTCAAATTTTTAATTTCAATTGGCACCAAAACTTCTTCAGGTCTCCAAATTTTTTTTAAAATTGGACATTTTTTAATGATATTTACAGTAACCACTAAACTCAAAAGGCAAAAATTGAGAGTTTATCATGTTTTCAATTCCTGAGAGTACTGGCAAATTTATTTTATTTTTTTAGAAAAGTTTAATTATTGTGCATCTGATGAGTCAAAGAATTAGAAAACACTATTACACAAAGTCAAAAGTAATACTTTATTATAACAATAGAATTATTTATACAATAGTGAGTGCAACTATATTTAAGATTATAAAATCTACTGTGCATCAAGCAGTTTATCCCATTGACCTTACAATATACAATAATGCAAGAAGTAATGTGTCTCATTACAAAATAGGGTTTCCCAAAAGCAGTTCTAAAATTCAGCTGATTATCAATGACCTATGCTAGCTGTTAATAATTACAGTAATTCGGCAGTTTGATTGCTTGAATTAAAAACAAAAGGTCTAGGACTCAACAGAAAGAAATATTTCTTAACATCAAATATTAAAGATAGTTTGAAGCATTCATACAATTGAAGGTTTTAGAAAGTTTGATTATCAACTACATTTACATAAAGCAATATCAATTATGTTATATTGCCTGCGAATATACTAAGTTGCAATTCTTCTCTAGCTTCTAACACATTTTAATCTTGATGTGATTCCATGGAACTATAAAATAATATATGATATGTTGCATGTATGTATGTAATAAATATACAAATAGTAAGGAGTAAGAACCATTTTTGGTGTCAATGTTTTATATATTGACTATTTAAGATTTTAAGTCTATTTTTGCCATTGATAAACTGTGACTAAAATATGTTTTTCAGTGTCGCTGTCTTTTACAAAAGAATATGCAAATACATTCACAATTTTGCCATGAAGCAATGGCGATTGCTCAAAATGTTTTATTTGGAATTGGTGAAACTATATTTATA